GTGGGGAGCAGTGAGGCAGGCAAATGAATATGTTTTGGGAACTTTTAGTTGGGATGAAGAGAGAGGTAGCGCTCGAATCTGATATTTTTTGGGGTCAGAATTGTAGTGTAGAAGCGGCCTACATAACGGGCCTTCGCTTTATGTGGGCGATTAGGACGAGGCTTCAGGTAATTGCCAGTTTGGTCTAATTACCTGTTCACGCATAACTACTTCGCCTATTCGGGTGGCATGTTAATTGGCGATAATTGAGGTTAGTGGATTAGTATACGTGGGTGAGGGTGTGTTTGTGTAAACACACCCATACTCTGGCATATATTTACACACACTCACACACACAGCCTGGTGGATAGCGCGTAGGACTCGTAATTCTGTGGCGCGGGTTCGATTCCCGCACCAGGCAGAAACAAATGGGCAAAGTTTGTTTCACCCCTGAATGCCCCTGTTGCCTAGCAGTAAATAGGTACCTGGGAGTTAGTCAGCTGTCACGGGCTGCTTCCTGGTGTGTGTGTGTGTGTGTGTGTGTGTGTGTGTGTGTGTGTGTGTGTGTGTGGTGCGAGGGAAAAAATAGTTAGTAAACAGTTGATTGACAGTTGAGAGGCAGGCCGAAAGAGCAAAGCTCAACCCCCGCAAACACAACTAGGTGAATACAACCACACACACACACACACACACACACACACACACACACACACACACACACACACACACACACACACACACGTATTGTATTCAGAAAACAGCAGCGTTCTCTCGATATCCCATTCCATAAAAAGCACACCTGTATTACCTAACCAGAAATGAACGACCCCCAAACAGTCTTGGTTATCGAGGCTGATGCACAGGAAACGTTAATAATACGATGCCTTAATTTTGTTAATACGTCGCGATTATAACGGATTAGTGGACTCCGTAAAGAACGGCCCCGTATTAAGAACGTGCCCGCAAATTGTATAATTTTGGAACAGCTGAAGGAGTTGCTACGTCATTAGGTGATTGTTTTTATGGCTCGCCAAAAATATTTGTTTTGAAGAAAAGTAGCTCATTAATGTTTAAGAAAATGAAAGTATTCTCTCCTCCACAAAGGAGGCTAGCGTGGGCTTCAAGAGGATTAGCTGTGTTTCTCTCTGCGGGGCTTACCTTAATGGAAGGGAAAAAGTGGGGAGAGGGGGAGAGAGAGAGATTGGGGGGGGGGAGAGGGGGGGAGGAGAGAGAGAGGGGGGGGAGGAGGGAGAGAGAGAGGGGGGAGGAGGGAGAGAGAGAGAGAGGGGGGGAGGAGGGAGAGAGAGGGGGGGAGGAGGGAGAGAGAGGGGGGAGGAGGGGGAGAGAGAGAGGGGGGGAGGAGGGGGAGAGAGAGAGGGGGGGAGGAGGGGGGAGAGAGAGGGGGGGGGAGGAGGGAGAGAGAGAGAGAGAGGGGGGGGAGGAGGGAGAGAGAGAGAGAGAGAGGGGGGGGGGGGAAGAGGGAGACAGGGGAGAAGAGAGACAGGGGAGAAGAGAGACAGGGGAGAAGAGAGACAGGGGAGAAGAGAGACAGGGGAGAAGAGAGACAGGGGAGAAGAGAGACAGGGAAGAAGAGAGTGAGGGGAGAAGAGAGAGAGGGGAGAGAGAGAACAACAAACCATTAGATAAGCAACAATTTGGGTTGCGATAAAGGCCAGAGTTACCTTGTATAGGAAATTAAGTCGTTTCATCCCACACTGGCTTACTGCTTCGCCTTCTCTTACTCCTGAAGGAAAGCACCTATTTTTTTTGACCCGGTTAATGAAGGATATTTCCACGAAGACTGAAAGTAAATGGGTTCCTCTCTAGGCTAATATACTTTTTTATAAGTTGGCTGTGTATTTACTATTTGCATTTAGTATTTGTGTCTGCAGAATCGAGCTATTAGCTCTTGGACCCCCCGCTTTCCTAACCAATGTATTTTTCATCTGTTATATCTACTACATATATTTCACACACACACACACACACACACACACACACACACACACACACACACACACCGTGTTCTCGGTAATAGACGAAGCTAAGCATGCATAGTTGCATTTTCGTAAGTCATTCTCTGATTACTGTCTCTTGACTAACAATCACCTATATTCCCCTCTTCCCCCCCCCCTCCCCGTTTGTACCCCCTGTACCAATTATCATTTATCTCCTCTTTCCCCTCGCTGCATCTCTGTCAATTAACCTTTGACCCCGAAACCTCTTCCCAGTAGCTGGTCTTCCAATCTGGGCCACTTTCTCCACGTTGGTCTGGCGCCGTCGTGAAGTATTTAAAGTTACCACGCGGCCTAACCTGCTATTTTTTTTTCTCTTCACAACTTGTTACAACTTGGAAGTTAGTCGTGTTTTCCAGTCGTGTGAGTCTTGAACATTGCGCTGTTGATGCTGGTGTTGGTGGGGGATAGAAGCCTCAGTGGTGGCTTCACATACAATATTTTCCCAGAAATGACCTCATGAAACGTGATAGAAACGTGTACAACGCCTTTATTTTATCGATCTTCAGGTGTGACTGACTTCTTGAATATTGGACACTCTGATTCTAGAGTAAATTGTTAGTCTGTCTGTGTGTCTGTCTGTGTGTGTGTGTGTGTCTGTCTGTGTGTGTGTGTGTGTGTCTGTCTCTGTCTCTCTGCAACAACGCTCCACACAAGAGTGTTACACATCAGTCTTTCAACCAGACCAAAGAGTTGGTCGATGTTTTTCGTGTTATTCTGATCAGTGCTGTTTCTCCTGGCCTTGGAAAAGTAAATTGGGTCCTATTCAGACAAATGACTGAAAAATAGTTGAAAGACACGGCGGAATAAAGGAAAGGGCGAGGAAGCGGGGAGCCAATGAGAGAAAGAAATCAAAGAACTTAATATATTTTTTACATCTGTATACAAATATTTTAACATGTCGTACTGTACGCTATATGTTCGGGCTCCATTGAAAATTTAATAAATTCTTTTCATTGCTTTCCTATATGACCTGAGGAAGCTCATATAGGCTTTATTAGGCACCAGCTCCTGGGCTCAGCCTTTGCGCAGATTGTTTTTGTTATCTTAAGCCAAATATATAGCACACATGTGCTAAACTAGACCTAATGAGTGGTCCAAAGTGAATTTTACCTTTTTTCCGGCCTCTATAAAATTACAAGTACAAAACGTGAACTATCTGCTGGTCCATCACTACACATTGGTACTTTCGACTAAATAGTTAAAAAGTACCATCATTTCAGGAGGATGAAGTTTTCAGTGTTGTGTACCCCACCCTGAAGCTATCTTTAGGTTATCTTGAGATGATTTCGGGGCTTTAGTGTCCCCGCGGCCCGGTCCTCGACCAGGCCTCCACCCCAAGGAAGCAGCCCGTGACAGCTGACTAACACCCAGGCACCTATTTTACTGCTAGGTAACAGGGGCATAGGGTGAAAGAAACTCTGCCCAATGTTTCTCGCCGGCGCCCGGGATCGAACCCACGACCACAGGATCACAAGTCCAGCGTGCTGTCCGCTCGGCCGACCGGCTCCCACAAAGCAGCAGGCCCGTCCTTATAATCCACGAATTTCACGTTCCTGGGGGACCCCGGGGGCCTAGGATGGCCTACGATAGTAAGCAAAGTTAAAATACCGGAGATAGTATGTAGTAGAGATGTGGCCCTTGTTCTTCAATTAGTAAAGGTGTGGCCCTTGTTCTTAGTAAAGATGTGGCCCTTGTTCTTCTATTACAAGAGATGTGACCCTTGTTCTTCTATTAGTAGAGATGTGACCCTTGTTCTTCTATTAGTAGAGATGTGACCCTTGTTCTTCTATTAGTAGAGATGTGACCCTTGTTCTTCTATTAGTAGAGATGTGGCCCTTGTTCTTCTATTAGTAGAGATGTGACCGTTGTTCTTCTATTACAAGAGATGTGACCCTTGTTCTTCTATTACAAGAGATGTGACCCTTGTTCTTCTGTTAGTAGAGATGTGGCCCTTGTTCTTCAATTAGATGTGACCCTTGTTCTTCAATTAGTAGAGATGTGGCCCTTGTTCTTCAATTAGACATAACCCAGGAACCCCTAGCTAGACATAAATTGATTCCTCGGCTTCCCAAAATACCTCAACCTGGTCATTAGAATCTACTGTATCCTCCTGTAGCCTAACTAGTGGAGTTTGAATTAACAAGTGCAGTGGAGATGTAATGGGCCCCCAAAATAGGACTCTTTTTAATTACGTAGAGGGGAAAATACACACAAAACGGCAGAGGTGGGGGAGACTACGCTAAAATTGGAGCCTCTATACGCCCCAAATTATGTACTATATGCATGTGATAAAATAATTAACTTAGGTCATGTGTGTGATCACTTCCATATTGATGTGTTTTAGTGCGTGCGCGCGCGCGCACTCGATTTTGCGACTGTGTTTTGATGGTTGTATACGTGTGTGTGTGTGTTCACCTAGTTGTGTTTGCGGGGGTTGAGCTTTGCTCTTTCGGCCTGCCTCTCAACTGTCAATCAACTGTTTGCTAACTACTTTTTTTCTCTCCCCCACACCACACACACACATACACATCCCAGGAAGCAGCCCGTGACAGCTGACTAACTCCCAGGTACCTATTTACTGCTAGGTAACAGGGACATTCAGGGTGAAAGAAACTTTGCCCATTTGTTTCTGCCGGTTGCGGGAATCTAACCCGCGCCACAGAATTAAGAGTCCTGCGCGCTACCCACCAGGCTAGCAGGCCTGTGTGTGTGTTTGTGTGTGTGTGTGTGTGTGTGTGCATGTTTGAGTTTCACTTAATTTTTAATCTACACTTAGCACTGAAGTGGTCAACATTTCACATCGTTCTTATTAAGAACGTGTTCCTCCATTTTTATAAATGCCATTATCTTTGATATTATTCTTTGGCACAACACTGTCAAGCCCCACACACCACCCCGCTGTGCGTCAGGCTTGACAGCGTCTTGTGTCCGGCTTGACAGCGTCTTGTCCCTCTCCTCCTCCACTCCAGTAAGTGACCCTCGGCCATCTTCTTCCCTCCACAGATCGCGGACTGGAAATTCCCCTACAAGAGGTCGCATCATCCCGTGTGTATGCATGAGCAAACACAGTTGACAGAGGTGAGCATGCTCAAGCAACACTGTACTCGCTCAAGCACACACCCAAATGCACATGAGTCTACATAAGAACTCGTCTGTGTATTTCCATGAAATATTCCACATACGACACTAGTCAAATTTTCCATACAACTTCGGCAAAAAGAGAGAGAAAGAAAGGACATTACTTTTTCATACTTTCAAAGTTGTAAAACTCGCGTCCTTACACGAACTTTTATTATTTTGTTTTTCGTTGCTGCACGTATACATGCATAAATGTAAAATTATGTAAGTAAACAACATAAAATTATACACAGAATTATATCTACATTATACATTCAGAATTCTATCTACATATGTTATGTTTGTTATATAATTTCAAAAGAGCTTGTATAAAATGATTCACTATTTTGACCTTAGAATTATCACTACAAATACTCATATAATACCCATATTATATGATGTATGGGAACCATATATCATATAATATGTATAGATTCCCATATGGGAACCCTCTTGGGGCAATTATATGCAACGTGAAAAGTCAATAGGCGGTTATAAAATAACTGTTTGGAATATTACGGAATGTCTAAGATCAATCCCCCAGCTACGCCACTGACCAAAGACCACCATGCACATTAAACACTTGAGGAAACTTGAAGCAACAAATAAAACCACACTCACCAGACGCCCATAATAACAAAGATACAAAAGATAAGATTACCAAGGAAACTGGTATCTCCAATTTTAATTCAGATCTTTTTCTCTCATTTCCCTTGGTGACAAAACTCGTCAGTACCGTCTCCTTAACAGGAAATAATTGACATCTTAATCTAACTTTCTCGATAATCACGAAATGTCCTCCAGGGGCTAGATTCACGAAAGAACTTATGCAAACACTTACGAACGTGTACATCTTTCCTCAATCTTTGACGGCTTTGGTTACATTTATTAAACAGTTTACAAGCATGAAAAGTTCCCATTCAACTGTTATTGTTATAAACAGCCTCCTGGTGCTTCGGAGCTCATTAACTGTTTAATAATTGTAAACAAAGCCGCCAAAGATTGAGAAAAGACGTACAGGTTCGTAGGTGTTTGCGTAAGTGCTTTCGTGAATCTGGCCCCTGAATACGGGATTTTCCGTTACACTTCCACCACCCATGACTTGCTTGACCTTATATTTTCCTCATATACTTGTCCTGTCTGCCTTCCTCTCCCTCTCTCGTACGACTAACATCTCTATATCCCTCTACAGGTAACGCTGCGACACTGCGACGAGGACGCTGCCCCTGGGACGGAGATCTACTCCTACCACGATGCGACCCGCTGTGCTTGCTCCGTCTGCAAGTCGTCGGAGGCGTCGTGCGAGGGTCTCCGCTACAGGGGCGCCCGCAGAGCACCCCGCGCCGACGTGCCCAGGGGCTGAGCCGCCACTCCTGTGGAACGAGAGTCGGGATATCGAGACCCTAGCCTCTATTGCTGCCAGAATCTTTTTACAAATCGGAACGGGAGTCTAATAGATAATAACCTTTTAAAGAGATCTGAGAAAGATGAAAGTATATTTATTTTTTAAAAAGAACATCTCAGTTTGTACCTGAAAGGAGTCTCGTATCAAACCCGCAAGAAAAAGAAATTATTTTGTAGCGGTTGGGGTCTAGAAATCCTAGACTACCATCGCACATGTCTCACTCCCGACGCATTGCTGACATCTATATTAAATGAGTATAATGATTGATTGAAAATTAAGCCACCCAAGAGGTGGCACAGGCAGGATTAGCCCGTAAGGGCATAATACTGATAACGGCTTCCTTATACTGGCTTAATAATGATTGAAAATTACTTAAATCCCCAAACTTCAGCAGCCATGCTATTCGTATGCTCACTTCGGGGCTCCATGTAAACAAAAAAAACCTCCCTTAGTGAGCATACGATTCAGATGCTGCTTTTAAGACACGTATTCCATCATTTAAAGTGGGAACTGAATATCACTGTTACCATCAGTGTTGAAGCTAGTTATACACGTGTTTTAAACTCAGTTATGGCAATAACCTATGTGAGAGATGATCATATTACTGTGTAAGGCTGCATATAGCGGGCTATGATAAGTGGCTGCTCCCGACAGCTGGGTGGTTCAGTAATCAACTTACCTTCAGGCGGCGAGGACCTAGTCATGTCAATAAAGGTAAAATATGATATACTATTTACAAAATTGTGATATTTTGAGCCAATTTTATGGATATATATGTTTATTATGTCAAAAAGTTATCATCCAATTCTTTTGAGACAAGAAAAATCACTATTTATAAACAAAGTTGATATATTCTCTTCATCATGACATTAATGAATGGCAAGTGATGATGTACACTGATTTGGTTTTCTGAAGATAATGAATTTTTAGTGTGGCTGATTAAAATGACTTGTTACCGTTTTATTCTAAACTCAATTTTTTATAATGTGAATTAGTATTAGAATATCACGCAAACCAAATATTATATGTAAGATTTCATATTTGATCTGACAATATTTGACAAATATATTTACTGGTTTAAGTTTTAAAATATTGTTTTATGATAATGGTCTCTTGTACGTATTGTGGACGAAACGTCGAAGGTTACGACTTGTGTTAGGTTGGTGATGACGTCATGTATTAGCCTCTGGGCGGGAGCCAATCCCATGCTTACAGATCGGATTCAATAAATGTCTTCAAGAAAGTATTAGCTATTTTTGTAAATAAATCCGCAATAACCTTTCCTCTTTTCTTTTACACCCGTAATAAGTGTGTAAAAAACAAAAGTGTTTATTTCGTGGGCCCGACTAGACAGCCAGACATTATGGGGGTAGAAGTAGCCTAAGCTACTCTATCCCTTTGAGATGTATTTTTTTTTCTTGTCTTAATAAACTTACTTGAACTGGACAGCTAGACACAACATAATTCTTTTGTGTTCATTGATTATTAACTTGTTCTAATTTGCTTACTCTACGTTTATTTTACGGATATATTTAAACTATAACTAGTAATTCGGTAGTTGTATATTAAAAAAGGTACCGTACCGAAATAAAATGTGAGAAAAACCCTAGTTACAGCACAATTCGACGTCTCTTAACAGTAAACTGTAATTACATTAATGTCCTTTATGAAAGTAAATGGTCTTTACAAATACATAAAATGAAGAAGGGGGAGGGGGACTGGTTACAGATGCTCACCAGTGAAGATACATTATCTAGCACCATCATTAATGAAAGTTGCCATTATCACTGAAACTGCCGTCTGCCCCACACTACAGCTGCTATCCACCAAACTAACGCTGCCACCCTCCACACTACAGCTGCTATCCACCAAACTAACGCTGCCACCCTCCACACTACAGCTGCTATTCACCAAACTAACGCTGCCACCCTCCACACTACAGCTGCTATCCACCAAACTAACGCTGCCACCCTCCACACTACAGCTGCTATCCACCAAACTAACGCTGCCACCCTCCACACTACAGCTGCTATCCACCAAACTAACGCTGCCACCCTCCACATTACAGCTGTCATCCACACCACAAGGAGGAGACCCCGAGACAAGATCGGTAACGATCGTCGTGAACACACACCCACAGCCTGATGGGCGATTAGTTCAATTCCTACCGTATAACTTTCTTTCAAATTAAATACGGGCGTGACGCCACGAGAGAAGAGACCGGGTAAGTAGGGAAGTCGTTACATACTGGAGGTCCTGTCGGTATGTGAAATTTATGGCATTGTTGTAATGATTTAATGGGAACTGTTAAGTGCTTACTGTTTGCAGTAAATGTTTGTCTTAAACACATACATGACGGGGAAATGAAAAGATATACTTAGCACCATTGTCTTGATGTTTTAATGTTTGGAGGATAAATCCAACATAATTTGCGTATTATTAAGTGCTCATTAATTAGTAACTAGAGGCAAGGTATCGTTGTTGGGGGGGGGGGGGGAAGAGAGAGAGAGAGAGAACTAGAGAACCAGTCCACCCACCCACCCAGAGTAGGCTATCTGCATGATAAGTTCACCAGTGGTTCGGTTTTGCGTCTCTGGTTCACTAGGGGTTCTTTACCAAGCAGACGGGTTCTAGCATTATAATTTTTCAAAATATTCAAGTTTTTTTTATATAGTACGACGTTAATATTATTTCCAAGCGTAAAGTTACATTAAAATGACAACCCCCAACTTAAAGACGAACCTCATTATTCCTCTAGTACCGGTCGTTTTTTTTTATTTATATATACAAGAGTTCTTACATTCTTGTAAATCCACTAACAGTTTGTAGTTAGTTTAGTTCATTTATTATGCACCCCATACCCATCATGTGGGCGGTAGTGGAAAGGGTTCCAGAGGCACATAATGGGCTCAGGGACTGAACCCCACAATTCATTTAGCTAAGCAAGTTAAAATCTTGATGAGTTAGTTACAAAATTCAGTGCACATCGTCACATCAACAATGGGCTCGAGACCGACCACAAGTACAGTTTCTAAATTAAGCAACTGACATGTGTGGAGAGCTAGTGTCACAATTGATATGTTTGTCCTGCACACCGCCCCCCATCCAGTGGGCAGCGGTGGATAGGTTACAATCCCTTAGTTACTACCTACAGTTAGCAAACTGGGGATATTTGGCTAAGATTTCTGGTAGCAGATCATTTTGAATGAGATATTTACACATCTCTTGAACATTTGTCATAGAATTGTTTCTGAATTCACTTATTGTATTTTTCCGCACTCCATCACATAGTGACGGAGGGCAGTCATAGCATTTTGGGCAGGTCCTAAATCCTACTTTTCCCCGGAATACGACCCGCCAAATTGTTTAACAACCAGGTACCCATTTACTGCTGGGTGAACAGAGGCTACAGTTAAGGATTGGCGCCCGGTCAATCCTCCCCGGCCATGATACGAACCCTAGCCAAAGCGCTCGCGAAGCCCGGGCGAGTATCTTACCACTGCGCCACGGGTTCTGCAATAGGGTAATTAGGGTGATTAACCCAGGCTCACTACCACTCGCGTTATTAGACGTCTTCTGGCGTCTTGAAAGATGACGAAAAAAAATGAGATTGTAATTTAATAAAACTTGTGTATTTATTTTCACGAATTTAGAAAAAAAAATGGATAACTGATTATTTCGCTGTAACTCTTGTATGTAAAAAAAAAATATGTGAATGTTAGGAGAAAGTTTGAGAAAAAATTTAAGCAGTTTTGGAACTAGTTTATTAAAGTATTTGCACATATCAGTGCAATTACCGAGGCATTTTAGCTACGGTAAAATATCGTAAAAAATATTAGCAATTATGAATGTTTATATTTTTAAGATTAATTTTGTACTAGTAAGTCTTTGCATGCTCGCTAAATTGTACTGAAAAGAAACTTAAAATAACATTGGAGAGGTGCAGATAAATATTAACACTCAAATGGGCCACTGTATATATACTGAAACAGTGTGGCTTTAGGTCGTATTTGGAAAAAAAACATTAAAGAATTACTTGTTCCAGAATTAAGATTTTCATGGAGAGTCTGGGAAGTCGTGGCATATAACGTGAACACAATTGTAAGTCCATCTTAAAAAAAAATAAAGCTTGTGACACCAAAATATTTACCAGACTGTCACAAAATAATTCTGATTAAGACAATAACAAAAAAACTAATATTTTAATGAGGCATGACCGGGTCCAAGAGCTCGATGGCTCCTCATACTGATTACAGTCAGTCGCTTGTGCTATACATCATCAGAAAGTAGTTACTTAATAATTCTTATTAATTTCATGGAAAATACTTCATACATCCACAATGGCTTAATTTTAAAATTTCACAAAGGCCATAAAGTATTAAAGTCTGAGGCAATCATGATGGAATATATTCATCTAGTTTAAAGTAAAATTATGCATTATTCAAATTATCAGCGCGTGCTGATGTAAATTATGATGCTAGAAAAAGATGGTGGTTTGCGAAAGGTAAGTTGTGAGAGGAATAACTAACTAGTCTGCTCGTACCGAGTGTCATGGAAGCACTAGAAGTAATTTACAGTCTGGTTTCATATCTGCAAACTCCCTTGAAATGTTGACTCACAATCGAATGGCATTTTTTGATGGGGGATTCTCTCTTCCTGTTAAAAACATTGTCACGCTCCTTGGCATTTATTTATCACACACCAGCCTACTTTTGTTAGAAACGAATTTATACAGGAATTTGATATCAATGCACCGTTATGTTTCGTGACGTTTCACAGAATCTAAGAATTTTTAGAGGAAAATATGGAATGAAAAAGGCATTATTGATCCAGCTAAACACAAGATGTTAGGATACTGTTGTCATCTTGAGATGATTTCGGGGCTTAGCGACCCCGCGGCCCGGTCCTCGACCAGGCCTCCTTTTTGTTACACACCCCTAGGAAGCAGCCCGTAGCAGCTGTCTAACTCTCATGTACCTATTTACTGCTAGGTAACATGAACATCAGGGTGAAAGAATCATTTTCCCCATTTGTCTCCGCCTCCACCGTGGATCGAACCCGGAACCTCAGGACTACGAATGCGAAGCGCTGTCCACTCAACTGCCAGGCGCCCCCTGACAGCTGAGTGATTATAAAGAGATTGAATTTTAAAATAAGCAATCTGGTTTCTTTAAAGTCATTATAATATATGCTCTGTGTACAGATAAATATGATTTAGATTAATCTCACACAAACCATTAGATAGAAACAACGTATTACAGGCAAAGTGTCATGTCTAATAATTTGCCCCATGATAAAGATGCAGAATACAATACCGGTAATATCAAACAAATTTAATGGATACTTATAAAAAAAATGTGAAAAATGTAGTAGTTGGCGGAATGTCCACAGCTGAAAGCGCCACTGGGCCCCCAAATCCGATACATTCATATCCTTTGATCGTGTACATTGTAGGCTACACGCCGCTTTATACCATTCAAAATATGAATAACAGAAACGATTGACAATATTCCGAAAAAAACAGGTTGCTAACTGCAATAAAAAAAAAAGTTGCAAATTGTCACGAGAAAAACAAGACTAGAAGCTACCATTAAAACAAAAAAACAAAAACATAAATGGTTTTGCAGGTGAGGAGTCACAATAACGGGGCTAAAGTATGTTGACCAGACCACACACTAGAAGGTGAAGGGACGACGACGTTTCGGTCCGTCCTGGACCATTCTCAATCGACTTGAGAATGGTCCAGGACGGATCGAAACGTCGTCGTCCCTTCACCTTTTAGTGTGTGGTCTGGTCAACATAAATGGTCTATAAACTGCGGTAAGAGATTAAGTTGCGAACTGTCATATGAATAACGAGGCTGGAAGCGGCTATGTATAAACTCGGGCTATGAACTGCTATTCGAAAACTCGGCTTCAAGTTTCTTTAAGATAACAAGGGATATGCCTCTGCCATATCCCAAATTTTCCTCATATCCTGTATTAAATAGTGGCAGGCATATCCAGTGTTAAATACTGGATATGCCTTCATAACCTATGACAGGTATATTCAGTATTAAATACTGGATATGGCTTCATATCCTATGGCAGGTATATCCAGTATTTAGTACCGGATATACCTACCACCGAGGCATGGCATATCCAAGTAAATACGGAAAGTAGATAAGTGAATATTGAAGTATGACAATAAAAGTTTTCAGAGTGAATTAAATAAACAAATATATAAAACAGGATACAGCGAGAACTTAATTTTTTTCAGAGGTAGAGAACATGAACATTC